TAGATAGATAGATAGATAGATAGATAGATAGATAGATAGATAGATAGATAGATAGATAGATAGATAAAGTGTTTCTTGTGATAAATAAATAAATGAGACTGAGCTTGTGACAAACTCATCTGTGCAACCTGTTAGTTACGTCCAATGTCTGCAGTTTTGGCTTAGCAGAACTATTCCCTAGGGTTTAGTTGACGGGTTGAGTGCATTGTGCAAATCTGGGTTCCCTCCATAACTCAGCTAAATACGTTGCGCTAACACAGCCATCATCAGAATGCAGCTTCTCCTTCTGTTTATTACTTGGTCCCAGAAGTAGGAAAACACATCAAAGGAAGTGAATCTGCATTCTTGGTTTTTATCGATGGGGTCGCTCGGAGTCAAAAACGACTTGATAGCACGTAATTTTTTTTTAATGTTTTTGACTCCTGGCGACTGCGTGGACTAGTCCCTGCAGTTTTCTTGGCAACGTTTTTCAGAAGTGGTTTGCCCTTGCCTCCTTCCTAGGGCTGAGAGAGGTGACTGGCCCAAGGTCACCCAGCTGGCTTCGTGCCTAAGGCAGGACTAGAACTCGCTGTCTCCTGATTTCTAGCCTGATGCTCTAACCGCTACACCAAACTGGCTTTATTCTGGTTAGCTTTCATTTAATAAGTTCCTTAACTTCCCTTCTGGAGCTTCTGTTGTCCTTTTCAAAAAGAGCTAATTTTACAGCTCACTTGCTGGCTCCAAAAAAAGGGTTGGACCAGTTCCTGGAAGTCCTGGAGATCAAGGGCTGTAAGCCTTGATGGCAGGGTGACACTTCTGAAGGCTCTCTGCTGGGAGACTGTGGGCTTCCTTGGACAGCTGGTGGGCCACTCGGAGAACAGGCTGCTAGACTAGACGGGCACTGCTTCTGTTCTTATGTTGTTGGTGGTAGCCTCCTTCCTCCTCCTCCTCCTCCTCCTCCTCTGAAGGCCATCTACTGGGAGACTCGTGGGCTTCCTTGGGCAGTTGGTTGGGTGCTGGGAGAACAGACCACTGACTTCTTTCTTCCGTTCTAAGGGGATTTCTTTACATCAACTCCTTGTATTTATTCCCCTGCAGCCCTGGGACAGCACAAGGCAGGAGACTCGGCGAGGCTCCAAGAGAATTCAGAGAAGATGCGTAAGGACTGTTTTGCTGCCTCAGAGCAGAACTGGTTTCTCTCACTGTTGGTTGCTGTGGGGTTGGATGGAGAGAAAGATGGGAGAAGAGGGAGTGCACTGCAAAGCTGGGACGGGTCAGACACTGAGGGAAAGGTGGATTCAGCCTGGGTTCGGGTTTTAACACAGTTTTGCACTTTAACCCGGTTGTGGAATGGAGCCTAACTAATGCAGTTGTTCTGTGGAGTTTTAGAAACACAGTGCAGTTCCCAGTCAAATCCATCCTAAAGTTCCGAATTAAATCACTTCTAAATCAAGTTTTTAAAAAAATCCCAATCTTGCAAGATCACTCAGTGTTTTCAGCTGAGATCTCAAGAGTTATATTTCTATCATTGTTCCATTACTTCTGTTACTTATTTTAACATGTTGAGGTCTTGCACCTGAAAGAGCCGTCTGTATGGTTTGTCCAAGAGTTCTGAGTTAGGGCCTTCCAGATTGTCCCATAGCAAAGTGGGGTAAGGTAGGGGTCCATATGCTCGTGCAGGGACTGGGGAGATGGGTGAGGTGTAGGGAAGAAGGCCCCCTGAGGGTCAACATCTAGGGTTAGTGGAGAAAGTGGAGTCCAGCGTCCCTGGACAGAGAAGAAGCTACTGTTGATGACACCTCGTCTTACCTTTTGTTTTGCTTAGATCCCTTGCAGACATTCAAGATTTATCTAGCATCTCTTGCAAGGGTTCGTGTAAGACGTCAACTTTTAAAACTCCCAGAAGTACTAACTCCCCAATTAAGACCAGCACCCCGCTTAGCCCAGGTCAGTCAAGGGTTGATGGAGGTAACAGGGTTTGGCTGATAAACTTGGGGGCCCCTCTTCAAACCAGTGGGAGAAAATGGGGGCTCAGCTTCAATCTTTGGCCTTTCCAGAGTCTGAACCTCTAGAAAACTGGAGGAAGATGAAGAAAGCAGGGCTGCTAAGAGAGACACGGCATCTGCCTTGCTCGGCTCAATAGCTAGAACTTGTTGAATCCCTGGAAGTGGACAGAGTCCTTGGGTAGATAAGCTGTGTCCCCTGGGGGCTTCATCGCTGACCCACCCGGCTTCTACATGCTGCCGGGCAAATGGTGGGAGGGGAGATGCCGGGATGTTTGGAGGGAGCATTGGGGCATCCACCATCTAAGGAGGGACTGACTCTGGACCTGGCTCTACTTGACAAATATTGCCAATCTTCCCCCTTTGGGGGAGGGACAGTGAAAAGATAGTGGGGCGTCAGCTGCAATGGTCTGTGCAGGAGCAGATTATCTGGACCTCTTTTTTAGGCGTGGGATGGAAGCCACCATAGGTCAACAAGATGACCTGTGGTGGGGCTTGGACAGGGGAGCGTGTGATCATTCCAGCCCTGCTGGATCTCCCAGTTTTTCAGAAGGGCAGAATTTGGAGAGCGACAGATTGGGGTCTCATGCTCAATAGGCAATTTTCACAGTATTGAACCATTAAAGAGCTGCTGCAGAGCGCTGCAGATTGAATTTTTAGCAGGAGAGAGGAGGGAGAAAAACTGAACTGACAGCAACTTCTCTGTCTGAACATCTGCCTGTAATTCATACCCACCATAGGTGAACAGAAAGGAACTATTTAGAACCGGGCTTTAAGAAATTGTGTGTGTGTATGTGTTGTGTGTGTTGGACAAAGAGAAGGGGGGCCTAAAATGGTTCCATGGTTAGATTCTCTCCTTTCTCATTTTTTTCCAGTGGGTCCACCACCAACATTTTCCTCAACTGTCACAAAATACAAGGATTATTGTGTGATGACCATAGATACATCATGTTGGGCTACCCATGATGTCTCCTTGTTAGGACTCAGTACGTTTCCTGCAGCCTGCGTGAACGAAGTGGTTACGGATGGGGCACCTGCCGCCCAGCATCCATCAGCTGGGCTCTTAGAACCTGTGAGTTGATTCAGGGAACCAGACCTGTGGGCGTGTGTGTGTGTGTGTGTGCACCTTCAAGTCAGTTTTTGACTCCTGGCAACTGGACAAGCCCCTGCAGTTTTCTTGGCAAGGTTTTTTGGAAGTGGTTTGCCACTGCCTCCTTCCTGGGGCTGAGAAAGGGTGACTGGCCCAAGGTCACCCAGCTGGCTTTGTGCCTAAGGCAGGATTAGAACTCGGGTCCCCCAGTTTCTAGCCCGATGCCTTAACCACTACCTTGTGTTGGCTGTCTGTGGGGTTTGGGGTGAGTCAGAAATAGCAAGAGAAGCTTTGGCAAAAACTGGACCAGTTTCTTGTGCTATTCGTTTCCAGGGAGGCACAACACAGAACTGAATGAACCCTGCAGATTTATTTAGTATATTTCTATTCTCCCTCCCCTTCCAGCTGATGGCGGGAAAGCGGTTGTCCCACTGCCCCCATCTCTTTTCCTTCCCATCCTCCCCGCAGCCTTGTAAGGTCGCCAGAAGAAGAGAAGTTGATGAAGGCCAATCACTCGAGCATCACTCAGGGAGGGACAATTTGAAAGTTTTAGAGCAGGGCCCCTGCCATGCAACGTCTCTAGTCTGATTCCCACAACACGAGAGCGTCCAGTTCGGGAAGCTCTGAGATGCACCTTAAAGTCAGGAGAGCAAACCGTAGCACAGGAAAAGGATGTTAAGGTGCCCGTTCTGCGAGCATTCAGCTGAAGGGACGTCCTCAGTTGGGTGGGGTCAACCCAACGGCTCTCAGCTTTCTTGGTCTGGTGCATTTCGAAGGCAAACTTGGCTGCCCCCCTCCCCACCCCTCGGTCTTCCTCCTGTCGCTGCAGCTGTTCTTCTGGGTCATCTAACCTGCCATTCAAATGGCTTCTGAGGAACGGGTCGCATCTTTGCGCCTCTCCTGCTGTCTGCAGATTAAGAAGGAATGAGAGGTCATTGAGCCAGACCGACAGCAGCTGCCCTGGTCACGTCTCTCCCCTGGTCCTCTTTGGATTGACAACTCAGCCAGCCTGTGCTCAATAAGCTCATTAGGAGTTGCAGATTCACCTTGGCTGGGATCACTCAGGAAATCAGGTCTGCTAGAAAGGAAGGAGAAATCATTGAAAAGATTTTCCTTCTTAAAAGCCTGTTCCTTCCCCTTGTCCCTTCCAGACAAATTCCCTGGGAGAAATCGTAATCCTATTCCTTCCTCATAGCGTCAGTGTGGACCATCTTCTCTAGAGATTTGGTGGTGGGCAAAGACGTCTTTCCCCAAACGAGGGAGATGCAACTAAGGTCCAAAATCAAATCCCTACTCACTTTCCAGATACTGCCAGATCTGCCTGAAACCCCGTTGTGGGCCGTTGTGAGTCAACATGGAATATACTGCGTTAGACATACAAGCAGTTGGCCTGACTCTGTGTAACAGAGACCAACAGATTCCCTGCCAGAGATCAGTCCAAGGGCTGGATGGTCTTGAGATCTGCTCATTAGGGATGCGTGTGAAATTGAAAATGGATTTTGTTTCAAACTATGAATAAAACAGTTTCATTCAAAATATTTTGTTGGGCCGTTTTGACAGAAACTGACAGAACAAAATTTAAGACAACTCAAGTGTTCTGTCGTTAAATTCTAGGCTTTTTAGAATCAATAGGAATTTGGTATGAACCTCCCCCTTCCTTGTTTTCCATCGTGGCACCCTAAAAGTAAGTGGGTAGCTGTTTGTGCTGATCCTTCTCTCTCTCAGTCAACTTGTATGAGGCCTTGATTACTGATGTAAACCTAGGCAGTTACTACCAGTCAGCCAACCTGCAAAAAATAATAGCCAAAGGGATTATTTTAAAAATATTTTGAAAAGTTCAAAAATCTCCCATAGGATAGAATTAAAGGAACTTCCTTTCTCAGCAAACAGTCTTCAGTTAGCTAAATAACCTGTCTGAGGCATTCAGCTACCACACAGAGAATAAAAAGTAATTGTACAATATTCTTTCCATTAGTACCTACTTTAACAGGCACTTAGACTTTAACAACAGCAGGCAAAATAGAGTCTTGGAAAGAACAAGATTTAGCCTGCCAACCCAGTTATTTTTTTAAGCTCAAGGAAAGAAAAATTAAAACCATGCCCAGTCGCAAAGCGACGTTGACTCTGTGTGAACATGAACTTCCCCATAGCAAAGATTTTTTTCAAAGAGAGGAGCAATTCACTGAGCAGGCAGGTAAGTACCCAGCTGCAAGCATTTGTATTGCTCTGGGCATACACAAACGCACACAAGCACACACCGTTGCCCAGCAAGTTACCATTTGGGGAGGATGTGTCCTCACCCCAGAGGCTCCATCTTGGTGCCAAGGCAAGCTGAAGCTGGATTGAAGTTATCCAAGAGAAAAGGGGGGCTTCTCATGGGGAAACAGACAAACCTCCTTGTTCTGATTTGTGTGGAGGAGAGCTTGAGGGGGGCCAGTAACTTACAAGGCTCCAGTTGGCCTCCTGCAGAACTGTCCCTCCCCGCATCCAGATATTCTTCTTCTTCCTCTCCTCCTCCTCCTCTTCCTCCTCCCTCTAATGCCAGTCTTGGGCTAAATACAGAATCTTGGAGGCCTTTCCCTGCTCATTTCTGATGGGTTCATTAAGGCAAATCTTGGGCTGATTTGAAACGTTTCTCTCAGGTTACAAGAGATGCAACCCACAGGCTCCATTTTTTCTCTTGATGTCGAATCTCCTGTTCCTTCCTTGGCCTCCCCGCCATCCCTCGTGCTACTGTTCCGTGCCTTGACTTAAGGGGTCTCCTAATGGCACTTGGAAGCCCCCACCACCCTGGTCCCCGTCCCTTCATACCCAGCGCCCCTGATGCAGGAGCTGAGCTTAAAGAGAAAAGGAAAACACCTGCCCACCTACCGCCATCGCCTTGTCCCCTTAAGATGCGCTTTGCATCAGGAGCGCTGAGTTCAAAGAGGGAATCCCAGGCATCGGATGAGATCAAGCGGCGTGAAGCAGTGCGCCAGATCTTCTCAACCCACAATCCACATCCAGTCTAAAAGCTGCCGTAAGGGGGGGGGGGGGGAAGTGGAAAAAAAGGCTGCCCAACTCACAAGGCAGAAAATGGTCCAGTTGCACAACCCGGAGCGGCCAGCATTTCATGTTGAGAATGAAGGTGTGTTTTGTTTTGAGCTCTGAAGAGTTAAAACAGTCTTCTCCTCGCCTGTTTGATTGCCCGTTCTTACACGATGTTCACTCGGGCAGTGCTTAAATGCCTCTGATGGGATTCATGTATGTATTTTTTTCAAATGTATAGATTTATTTACCTTTCACGGTCTGCTATTCCCTACTTCTGATTGCCCACCCCAGCCCTTCTCCACTGGGGCCCCGGAATGAGACGCAAGGTGGGAGTAAGTCATTTTCAGGGTAGAGATGCCAGTTCTGTCAACAACCAGCCTCTGTCCAGCTTCGAGGCCGCCGAGCGCAAAGCCGCGTTGTTGAAACCTGGAGCAGGTGGGAAGGGATGGATTTGCACTGCCGTGACGAGAACAGGGAATTACGCTCTGACTCTCAATAGTGGGCAATCAAATGTTTAAGGTAGCTTCCGTGGAGTTTGCAATAAAGATTCTTACCTAGCCAAGCCAGGTCCAGTGTTGAAAATACTGTGAGGGCAGATATGGAGATTGACAGCCCAGCCTTGCTCCAACACGTCAGATACCCCCAGGGGTGTTTGGCCCCACAACGGAAGCTGAAGCCCAGAGCTTCTGAGGGCACTGGGTTGGGGAAGGCAATTCAGGCCTTCCTGCTAACTAACACACCCCGCTTCCCAGCTCAACTCCCACTTTAATTTTGCACTTCATGTTTTGCAGGACAGTAATCTTTGGCTGCCCGTCCCAAGGGGTCAGGCAGAATCAGGGAGGGAGTTTCCTTCTCAGCATGACCCCCCCCGGAAAGGTAGGTTGAGCGTCCTGCAAACAGGTCCCAGACCATCCCAGACATGTATTATTAAATTGCTGCTGGTACAAAGGCCTCTGCAAAGCGTCTATTACAAAGTTGCCAAGGTTGAGAAACACTGATCTGGGGGATCGCGCAAGTGTTACCCCAAATGTCTTCTCTCTGACATCAACCAGTATCTTTCCGTTTTCAAAATCTGCAGCGTGAATGTGAATCGTACAGTTTGCATTTGACGGTTTACGTCTTAATTGTGTCTGACGTACGCCGATGAGCAAATCAATAAACCAGGTGCAGTTCCAATCTTTTTATGGACCCCTAAGAATGGCAGTTGAATATTCATCATTCTGCTGTGTTTTGTCTCGGGTTCGGTTTTACTTCTTACCCCATAGTCTTCGTTTTAATGTTTAAAAACTCTTGTGTAATCGTTTTAGTGTTTTAGTATCCCTGTGCCATGCTGGTAACACTAGCTGTTAGACTGTGTGTGTGTGTGTGTGTGTGTGTGTAAAATCCATCCATCCATAGGTTTTGTTGCTGTGATCGAAATGGATGTAATTCTTATCAACGTCACTTTGTATTTCTTTATGGCTTCTTAAATATCATTTTGATTTAAAAGGCTACCCCAACTCACACCTAACTCTGAACTCTGGGTGGCGAGGGTCAACTTGATCTATGACTGAATTAAAGACATGTCAGTGTGCTCCCGCGGAGTTACCAAATCGTCCAGCCTATCCAGTGTTGGCCCCCCGACTACAGGACCCATCTTCCCCAAGCCGCTGGCCATTCTGGAGGGGCATTGGAGTGGGGATAGTTTCACATCTGACATCTCCCGACTATAATCCAGTGAACACTGAGTTTGCTAAAATCTTGCCATGTGTCATCTTTTCTTCGGGGAGCGAGTTAATTTTTTCACCTCGATTGGCCCCATTAGAAAATTCATTTCGGTAGTGATCGAAGCTAGAGATCGTTGTCCAAAGCGGGCTTCTTCTCATCAACTTTCCTTGTAGCTTCTGACAGGTTGCTGTTAATTAAAGGTCTGTCCTTTTTCTTAAAAAAAGTGTGTGGGGGTGTGTGATCAGCATTTATTAGGCAGCTTTGGGGGGACAGAATATTCCGATTCAAACACTGACGTCTTCCAAAAATGGAAATACCCGTGTTCTATTTTGCCATAAGCACTATGTAAATACATATTCCTCTATGGGGGGAGTTTCTTCAGCTGTAGCACCCTGGGTCACTTGGCATAATGTTAAAACAGTGTTGCCCAAACTTGGCCACTTTAAGATGAGTGGACTTCAACTCCCAGAATTCCCCAACCAGCATGGGTTAAAGTCCACTCATCTTAAAGTGGCCAAGTTTGGGCAACACTGTGTTAAAAGGAGTTCAGAGAAATGCAAATAAATTTTCATTCATAGCAGGAGGGTGGGGAGTGGGTCCAAAAAATCAACCTGCCAGCTTCGACGGTGCCATTGTGACACCATCAAATTGATTTTTTTGACCGTCCCCCTGCAGATACCCCTGGTTTAAAGTATCCTGGAATTTAACAAGAGCGTTCCTGTAAGTTTTCTAAACGGAAGCGGCTTTAATCGAGCTTTTGCTTCGTAGGTTGGCTAAACAATTTTTTTCCCAATCCTATTTGGGGATCCTGTGGGTGAGCCCGGATCTTCTGTGTGCAAAGAAAGGCTGGTTCTGTGGAGATCCAGCCCTCCCCAGGAGTCGGAGTAACACAGTGGCTGCGTTGTGTTTTAGGGGCTTCTCTGAAATCCACCCCCCTCAATTTATATCCGTAGCTTCAGTCCGCTTGGAGAGCTTGTGCCTGGTACCCGTGACCACTTTTAAACAAAGCAGGAAAGAGGGGAGAAAAAAGCAGGATTGACATCTGGGGGAGATGGGCGGCATATAAATTTAAAGAAATAAAGAAACAAACATTTGGAGTGAAGGTGCAGTTTGGAATATGAAGTCAGGAGGTCACAGCCAAGCGTTGAAACGGAAGGCGCACGTGCCGGATGAAAATGCTTCAGGATATCTTGAACTGCTCCCCAGTTGACAATGGCTCTGTTTTTGTCAGGAGCTCCTGGTCAGCTTGATTCAGAAGACCGAGGGAAGCCAGAAGAAAAAACTCCCAATGCAAGCAAAGCTGATGACAGCCTCTGGTTCAGTGAGAGCGTGTGCCTGGCAGAAGATACGGAAAGGTATAAGCGGAAGAGAAGAAAGGAAATGGGGATCCCCTCCTGAGGATCTGTGGGATCTATGGGGGGCGTAAAAAAAAAGAAAAAATCAGGGTTGTGGG